TTCTCACTCGTAGCTAAGTATGCTACAATTCGTCTGGTATGTGCACTGGCTGCGATATTTGATATTGTTATGGATCAGATGGATCTGGTTACAGCTTTTCTCTATGGATATGTAGAGGAGTAAATCTACATGAAACAACCTGTTGGTTTTGAGATCAAAGGCAAAGAGAGGTTGGTTTGTAGATTATTTAAATCATTGTATGGATTATAGCAAGCTCCTAGGCAGTGGATAACGCGATTTGATCAGTTCATGAAGGCACAGGCATTTTTACAGAGCGTGTATGATCCTTGTGTCTGCATGAAGAAGGTAAATGATGAGACTTTCAATCTCATCATTTTAATACTCAACGTTGACGATATGCTCATATTGACAAAAAACCAATCCGATGTTAATGAATGCAAGAGTAAGTTGAAGTCTGCATTTAAGATGAAGTATATGGGGGAGTCGAAGAGAATATTAGGCATAAAGATACATAGGGATCATGAGCAGGAGAAACTATGGTTGAGTCAAGGCAAGTATGTTCGTCGTACACCTGACAAGTTCAACATGATGAATTTCAAATGTGTATGGACTCCTTTGGCAGCACATTTCAAACTCTCTGTAGCTCAATGTACTACCCATGCGGTGGAGAAATGAAATATGTCATGTGTTCCCTATGAACAAGCTATAGGTAGCCTCATGTATTTGATGGTATGCACTAGGCCGGACATTGCTTTTGAGATGGGCAAGGTGAGCAGGTACATGTCAAATCCAAGGAAAGTTCACTGGGAAGCAGTGAAATGGATTTTGATATACATGAAGAGTACTTTGGATTATGGCTTATTGTTTGATGGTCTATTAGACAATGCCAAATCCTTGTTTTGTTATGTTGATGCTGACTACGGACATGATTTAGATAAAAGTAGATCTACAACTTGATATGTGTTTACACTTGGCGGTGGAAGCATTAGTTGGAGGTCTACTTTGCAGAAATGCGTAACCCAGTCAACAACAAAAGCTGAATATGTGGCAGCAGCAGAAGCAGCAAAGAAAGCTATTTGCTTGGATAAGCTTATCATGGAAATGAAATTGAAACAAGGCGTGATTAATCTTCATTGTGATAGCCATAGCGCTTTACATTTGGCCGCGAACTAGGTCATGGATAGCAGAGTGAAGCACATTGACATCAGGTATCATTTTATCAGACAAGCAGTGTCTGATAAAACAATTGAGCTAGTCAAGATCGACGTTAAACTTAATCCAGCTAATGCTTTGACCAAAGTTATTCCATTGGAGAGTTTCAGGCGACACTGTGCTACTGCAAGTTGTGCATGTGGAGCACATGTAAAATTTGCTAGCATAGTAACTCTATTTACCTCTTTATGCTATTACTCTATCTTGTTATGGCTACGGTCTACTTCTAGTTAACTTTCATGTAAAGAGAGGTCTTGTGTTAGGTTTCTGTCTAGAACTTCCCGCTGAGTAATAATATGGGTTTCAGAGAACTCTGTTTCTTTGACACGAGTTAAGGAGGAGATTGTTGAGGTTAACTCCGATCCGGTTAAGTAGTAACCTCAGGTTTTAGCTATTTATAGCTATATGTGTCGTTGGCTTTGGGTATAAATATACCCCCAAAGCCAAGGTTTAAATGAGGAGCTGAAGTATTGTGTATTCACTTGTTAGTAAATCCGCTCGCGTGTTTCAGCCGTGAAAGTAGCACTTGAGGGTGAATCACGTTATATGAGTGTATCGTGTGATTTGTACTTGGTTTTAGGTTTTACATTAAGATCCTCAAGCTAATATTTTAATTTCAAAATTATCTTGAAAATTTAGCTTGAAAGATCTGGATACCTGGAGTAGTATTAAGAAAATCCAAAGAGTCAATAAGGATGTTTTGATGTGATAATTTAAGATAAGTATGTTATCACAATAAATGGAGAATTTAAAATGTAATATGATAAGCACATGAATTTTTCTGTAGCTCATTGTCTCAAAATTTCATGATCTCTTTGTCCAAGAAATGCGAAATAAAACATTTTGATTTCATAAATCTTTTACGATACTATTATTATAGTGTGCGTATTTTAAATGATTTTTAAGAAACGTGATCTTGCTCTAACTTTGAGCATTTCTAACACATACATGTCAAAAATAACAAAGATATATAAGAAAAATATAAAATCATTGGTTTAGCTATCTCAAGTTGGACTTTAAATTTGATGTTGAATTGACCCATTTCAAATATAAAATTGAATAAGTACATTATGGCTATGATCAAGATCTACTTGAAAAAAAATCTCTAATTTGATACGTGTTTACACTTGCATATATTGTTCTCTCCTTTGCAGAAGTAGGCAGCTTAGTCTAAGTCTTAGTCTAATTAGTTTCTAAATTATTTTTGTATCTTTATTGTGAGAGAAAGAATGCATTACATCCAACTATATATCATAAGATTGATATTCAGTGAAACGTATATACATCATGTATCATATAGTCATAAAAAGTGTGTTAAGTGGTATAATTGAGCTTACTATAAATATTACTATGAACCTAATAGTATTATCAAAGTGTTCTTTTATAGATTATTTTCTAAAAATTATTCCAAATTGCAAGTGTTGCATCTGGGAATTAATGACTGTAATAGAAATTATATTATCTTTTAATATGATTTACTCTAACCTGCTTAGATTAATACTTTTCTAGTTAATCTACTCTACAGAGTGACCTATACTAGAGTACCAAGACTTTCCGTTGAGGAATCATATATTCCACTAGATGTTAGACATCCCACTTCTTAATCAAGAGTAAAATAGTTCGGGTATAACTCAAGTCTAGAGTAAATTTTGTTAGTTTAACTTTCGTTAGTTAGAATATAGTTGGCAGTATTATACAAAAATCTGGTAGAAACTCATTGTGACACATTACAGTTTACCCATTTTAGGTGTTCATGTTTTACCATGGACTTAATGTCAATCAAGAGAATCTTTGTGTGTGACTTTTCTCTATGAGTATTATTGTAGATACTGCACATTTCACCTTATCATGAAAGTGCTTCTATTAACTCTCTCTTCATAAGTTAGTAAGATCATTCTCCAGAACTGATATAGGGGATCTGAAAAGTTCTTTTTGTTCATATTTTCTTGATTTTAGTACGGATATCAGTCGAACAGCCCGAGCTATTTGAAACATAAAAAGCAAGTTGTTTCAGCTTTGATCGACCGAAGCAAGAAGTAATATTTCTTATGTTCCACCAAGGGCGTCTTTTCTTGGGCTTCTCTTCTCAAGAGAAGCAATATACTGTCATTGGAAACACGAATAGCTAAACCTTGCTCTACCACAAAGTAACCAGACGTACATGATACTTTAAAAAGTTCATTTCCATCAGGTGTCATGAGGAAACCTTGGAATCCACTTACTGCGATCAGAAACAGCACTATGCATACACAGACATCTCTACTTGAGAGTGAAGAGTCCATAAAACCCGAAGTGTTTTCAGTTTGTAACTTTAGGAGAATTTCCCATGAGGAGAATTCAAATTCTTATCTTTAGAAATTACCCAATTTTTGTACATGTTTAGCATCCTCTCTTCTTGAAATGAAAAGTGAGAACTCATGTCTGAGGTCCGTCAAAGTGGACTTCAGAGATGTATCATTCCCCTCTATTTCCATACAGATAATATATCCCATATACATTAATGATAGTCATCCAATCTGAAAGTCATCTTCCTGTTTAAGACACAGGCCTGGTACGGTATACATGCTTTCTGAAGAAGCAAGGTAATGGAACAGAAGTAGAAGAAAAAGCAAAAGTCTGCAAGATTACTGCGAAGATAATTACACTAATTCCAAAAGCTTGATTCAACAAATAGATTGCAATAATGTAAGTAAAATCGGCCTTTCCAGATGTGACATTGCTTGACCCTTGTCAGCCACAATATATGACTTCTTGCTGCACCTCATTCATTGTTCAGAGATCGTTATGACACTGTTGGATCCGCCTATTTTCTCTATCGAACAGCGGTGGCGTACATGTACCGAAGTCCTTTTAAAAAATCTCATTTAGCTCTTGCAGACTCAATCGTACACAGGATACATGGACAGACTGAAACAGTTTCCCTGTCCACACCATGACCACTACTATACTGCCTGCTTAAAGTGGTACAGCCTCATCCACTCAGAATTACTGTAAATACTGTATGTAGTACACTTATTTGTATTACAAACTCCTGCGAATCTGAAGATTATCTGTCAAAAATTGAAGTACTATAGGTAACATGCCAAGCGTCTCTTTGGCATAGGACAGTCCGATTTACTTATTAGTACCTATTAGGTTCTTAGATATTACTTTTATTCACGATTTTACCTTATTAGATACTTATTATAATTATTTTAACTATTTTGCTTATAATTCAAAAGTAATATTACTTCTTGCTTCTGTCGATCTAAGCTGAAACAACTTGCTTTTTATGTTCCAAAAATGGTATGGGTCCGTACTAAAACCAAGAAAATATGAAAAAAAAAACTATTCAGATCCCCTGTATTGGTTCTGGAGAAAGATCTTAGCAACTTATGAGGAGAGAGTTAACAGAAGCACTTTCATGATAAGGTGAATTTTGCAGAATCTACAATAAATCTCATAGAGAAAAGTCATACACAAAGATTCACTTGATTGACATTAAGTCCATTGTAAAACATGAACACCTAAAATGAGTCTAATCTCTAGTCTGTCGAAAAGAGTTTCTACCGGAATATTTGTATAATACTGCCAACTATATTCTAAATAACCAAATTTAAACGAACGAAATTTACTCTAGACCTGAGTATATCCTAACTATTCTACTCTTGATTAAGAATTGACAGATAACAAGATAATAAGCTCCAGTTACCTTCCTCACTCGCTACCTCTGCTTAGCTACTTGTCGACATGGAACCGATTCTGACAGTGTCCTTCAACTGTTGAAATAGCGATCTGTAATGATTTAACGTGTTCGGGATCTTCCAATTTGACTACTGACAGCTACCAGAACCTTCACTGTACTGTAATTTTGATCCTCGGAACTTGGAACACTAAACTCCTCGGACGAGTTCTATTTCCTATATAAGTTGGATCTAGACCTCTTTCTTCTCATATTTCTCTCTTTCTATAATCTTCGAAGCGGCATGAAGTCATGAATTCGAGGTCACGTGGTGGAGAAGATGAGCTGGTCGTTTCCGGACGACGTTCGCAGGATGCCGAAGCTTGGAGAGCTTCTCCTAGCATGACTGCCTCATGTGAAATAGAAGAGTTGCCCTTTGCCACTGATCGGATTGAGCCATCGAAGAAAATCAGAGAAGAACTGAAAATTTTGGATGAATGGATTGCGAGGTTCGGCCGCTTGCGTTCTCAGAATCAGAAACTCGAGGACGAGGAGATGCCGCGCTGGTTTTCCGGGTCGAACGATGGGACGATTGTGACGAATGAAGACGAGATACAGGAGGATCATTCTACTGAGAAGATGGAGCCTGAGAAAGAGCAGGCGAAGGAGATTGTAGGGGTGTTGGTGGATTCTGAGGCAAAATGGCTTCAGATTAGCACCAAAGCTTTTTCCGAAATCTCTAACATTCGTCCAGATTTTCAGAGCGAGTCCGGATTTTTGAATTATACAATCGGGCGGTAAACTTTCAATGCTGCTGCCAACATAGGCCCTACATGTTCAGCTGACAAAGATATCTGTGATCTTGCGAGTAGGTTGAGTAAAACAGGATCTGGTTCCATCATAGACATGCATCGAGCTCGAGCTCAACATTGTACCTTTTCACACTCATGAACATCATCTGCAATCAAGCTAGAGCTTGAGCATTTGACTAACCACGCGAAGCAATTGCTAGGAACGACTGTTGTAAACATCTTTAGAAGAAAACTTGTAAATTATTGTGCATTTGGAGAAAATGTGTGCAATTTCAGCGGAATTTCCATACCTCAATGTCATCAGGTCAAAGCAAAACTAGGATCCGTTCGTGAACTATCCGATGCAGATCTTGGAATGTAATTGATCATACGATGTTTCCTTCTCAGTGTGTTAGACAAATTTTTTTGGAATCTGATCATCCTCGTTTCTGATCGTCAGCACCAGCTTCGCGCCGTCGAAGAGAGATTCGCAACCCAGTTGCTGCTACACTTCAAATGTCAATCATATCAAATCGACCCACTGTGGCTACTTACGAACATACGACCGCAAATCTAGAAATGTCTGGTATTATATTATAATGTGCTTCAAGCGTATACGGTATACGTAGATGGTGGACATCCACAAAGAACCCTACTTTATGTACTTAGGTTTGTAATCTACTTGATTATGTGATGTTGACAAACGCATTTTAGAGACCAAATTCTTATAATAGATAGTTAAGAATCGATACGTAACTCCATCGCATCAACTCATGTACTTTCAATAAACAAATCCTCATACACACATGTGTGTAATAATCATCTATACTACTTTCAACATATCCACAAGAACAAGGTCTGTACTCGTAGTATTAAATACGGATTATAATCGAGACATGTCCATTTTGAACTTTATGAACTAGCTTGTCTCCACCTTACACATTTCTCTAACGCTTAACTTCAAACATTGAAACCTTGATAGTCCTAAATCTAACTCTGTCCACAACAGCTAACGGAAACTTCAGAGTGAGTGGTAGGAATTCGCAATTTACATTACCTGCCAAATTTGGCATTTCACAGGACTATCTAATCTAATACTTTAAATAGTTTATAATATGCCGTTATTGTCATTGCATGTTGAAATTAAACATCACAATTCAAATCTATTAGTACAATCATTTCTCATCAAATGTGCACCTTGAAATGAAGGGATAACGCGATATCTATCATTATCTCCATGTTAATCTTTTACAGATATCATGTTAATCTTGATTTTATGCATTCATCCATCCATTTGCTCCCTAAGCACAAGGACGTCCAGTGAACTACGAGTTACGCCGCAACAAGTCCGTTGCTGAACTGACTGATTCAAGGAGTCGAATTGCCTCGAGAAGTTGCTTTGCGGAGTGTGTCTGCCTGCCTTTAATCGAAAGTGTGATCACGAACGCGGAAATCTTGCGAAATGAATTTGAATTCAGCGCTGCATGATGTATATCTAATCCGAAAAGCGCCGAAACCCGGTCAGAGAGAGTTACTTCTGTCTCGAGAAGGTAATAGGAGAACGAACAGACTGAACTATCTACTTCATTAAATTCTGCATTTCACCGATGAAGATCAATGATCACCTCTAGGAGAACCGAAGCGTTCAATGTAGTTCAAAATTTGTCGATAAAGAGGGAGTTCCGCCGCCGACGCAGATAGGGATTCTGCTCTGCGGTAGTGGAGTTGACGGGATTAGATGTCAGAAGGAGGCTCTCGAATAGCGATGCTCACAGAGCCACAAGTAAACCGGCAGGTGACTGGGATGTGGAGAAATCTTGCCGCGGAGGCAGAGGCATCTTCACAGCGGCAGCGACGATTGTCGACGACAAGGGCCGGAAATGCAACAAAACGAATCGAAGTGAAATCGAGGCCGCGAATGGACGATCATAGTGCGGGTCATAAAAGGGCCGGCCACTGCATCTGCAAGAATTCCTTCGCACATCCGTTCCTCGGCTCGAAACTCGTCCAGCCCTAGACTGGCGGTCTCCTCAAATGCGTGAGCGTCAGGTTATTCCACTGAAGCAGCAAGAGAAGCTGTTGTGAAAAGTTGTGTTTTATCAGAAAATCGGGACTCGACGGTCGGGCCATTGGACATCAGGAGTTGTCACCATGCTTCCGGTCTTAGATCTGGGCACTGTCCGCAGAAGCGACCGTGACTGATTGGACGATGGAGGCAAGCAGGGAAGGATGGTACACATCCTTCCCTGCTTGCCTCGAAGTTCGTTTCCAACATGGATCGAACATCTTTACGTGTATCAGTGAGAAAGCACTCGACATCAGCTTGAAGAGAAATCAGCGAAAAGATCCTCGCACGGACCCTTTCGCTTCAAGGCGCCACTCATACTCTCTCACAGCGCAGTTCACGTCTTTCAGATGTATTTCTGGAACTTCGAATTCTTTATGGGATTCAAGAATGAGCACAGACTGGAGTTATTTGGGCTTGGAATTCGCTTGAATACTCGAAATCATATGTTCGATCTTCCTGACATGAAAGGGCAGCGTTTCGATGTTGCAACAGCCACGTTGAGACGAGAATCGAAATATCGATTTCAGACAGAAGCGTTGCGGTTGCTTGCTGAAGACTAGTTTCGAGCATCCACGCACAAGGTCTAGGTCCAAATTTGAAAACGAGTCTTTCGGACGGCGAGGAAAGTTCACGCCAATGGAGACTTCTTGCATCGTTGTTTCTAGAACGACGATCGTTTGATAGTACCTTGGGGTGGAAAATAGTACCTTCCTCGAATATCGAGCTCGACATTCTACCCTCGAATTTTAAAGTGTATGGATTTTGCAATACAATCCACGGGCTCCAAGTGGCCACCACCATCCCTCAGCTCTTGCTGCATGGTCACCATCTTTTGCCCACGCTGTTTATTCGAATATGTACCTGCTCGCCTGATGGAGGATGGCTCCCTCCTTCCCTCCTTCCTTCCCTCCATCGGTCGCTCGCTCGCTCGCTCATGTCGCAGTCAATCAAACCAAACCATGACAGTCAAGTTTCAATCGCCTGTACGTATCTTTCTTAGAATTTGCCACTCTCACTTAAAGTTAAATCACGATCGCTGCTCTCCCGGCGAGCAAGCGAGCGAGGGCGACGCCGAATGTCAAAGTTGTTGTATTTAATTGATTCGAAGTCACGGTTCTAGTCTGATGGATGCAAGAACAGCATCAGCAACAACACCTGTTTCTGCCCTGAATGCATGTGCATGTGGATGGAGCTGGAGGGGGTGCCGCGGTGTTGGCTAGAGGCCAGGAGGAGGCTGGGTGTGGAATTACTTTTACAATATCCTCATTAGTACTGCTCCACAGCTCGACCTTTTGCGGTCTCGGCTCTGAAAAGATTCCACGATCATCACAGAGCATCTGCCTGGTGGCCCCTCGGGGAAGTTACTCCAAATTTCCACCTGCTTTAGCAAGAAGCCTTGGCCAGCAACAATTTCTTGCTAACAAATACGACCCAGAGCCAGTGCCAGAGCCTCGCAATCGTTTCTCGGCACTGGAAGTGTGAATTGCGTTTTCGGCAATTCGTGATGCCAGGCCAGCCCTAAATGGTGAGTGAGTGAGACGGACAGCAGGAGGAGGAGGAGCAGGGACAAGACTCAGGAGCAGGTGGTGAGCTACTTGTACAGTCGTCAATTCGGTGCAAGGGGTCGCATTCATTCCAAGTGGCTTGCATCCCGGTCCGGTGGAGTCCACGGCCACCTTCAATTAATGTGAGAGCCGTTTCGGAGTTTTGGATCCTTCTGGCATGGTGGTCCTGTGAATCGGTATCGTCCGCCGGAATCAACCCAATGCCCCGATGGAACATACCAGAATCGGCAGCGGCCGATGTTTGACATCTGCTTAAGGCATGATGTGCCCGCGCGGTTATTCGCACTCCTCTCATTAATCAATTGTCTCTTTCTTTCCGTCCCACTGCCAGGGCTCTCTTCTTCTTCTTTTTCTTCTTCGATGCTGTGAACTCATTCGCGCCGAAGTCTCATGAGGGCCGTCTTAAATCTCGACGACGAGGAGCAATCGGCCCCTCCTGCCCTCTCTCTGTCGAAATTGCCATGGCCTCTGCCTCCTCCTAGGGTTTAGGACAGAAAGGAATGTGGATTTCGAGACCGGCTCCTGATGTCTCGAAAGAGGAAAATCGAGACCACCGCAGAGATTGACGAAGCCAAGCGATCCCTCGACGGGTCTTTCCGGACGGTAGTCACCTCGGTCTACTCGCTCTACTCTCTGCAGAAGGAGCAGACCTATCTGGCCTTCGAGGCCGGAGAGCGCCACGGCCTCAAGAAATTGAAGGAATGGATCATCGGCGACGTCCGGTCGGGATCCACGACGTCCACGGACCAGCTTCTACAGCGTCTACGTGAGAAACTGGCTCGGGGAGGAGAGATGTTTCCAAACTCGGAAACCTCGTTCCCACCGCAGCTTGCTCTACAACCTCAACACCGACAACAACAACTGCAACTACAACAACGATGTCAACAGCCATCGCCCGAGCAAAATATCACCTCCACTCAGCTCTTTCCGGCATCAGCAACAGCAGCAGCAGGGCTTCCAAACTTCAGGTTTGACAGCTCGGGGTGGAGTGGAACGAGTGCACAGCGCAACAATCAGCCAGATGTATCTCGCTCTGATTCTAAAATCAATCCGAGTTTCTTCAAGCAAGGAGAAGGGCTCTCTCTTGAAGAGCACGACTGTCAAATGGACATGATTTGCTCGTAATACTCGTCGTGGCGAGTCTTGGCACTAAAACTGAAAATTTGATTCATACAGTTAATGATCTTGTCTGTTTCATAACACTTCAGTGCTCGGCTCGCTGCATTTTTTGAAACTAGCCTCCGATATTGAAAATTGTTTTTCCGATTATTGTGATGTGTCTGGAGTGTCGTTCTTCACCACTGCGCCCTTCTCTTCATTTTGTGCTCATCGGTATACAACCTTCACCAGACGCGAGCACGTTGATTGCAAAGCAGGATTCTGGAGACAGATTCTGGAGCACGATGATAATTGAGGTTTAGTAACACTACTCCCAAACTGCAGACCATGTGTATCAGACTATCAGACTTCAGTAATCGGTCAGAAGTTCCATTCAAATACTTTAAATTCTGAAATCTGTAAAATCTGACTGCAGCCATAGAGATTTACTCCCACAAGAAACTCCCATCATCGGTACAGCATATCAATGTTCGATGCAATTTATAACGAGCAACAAGTAAAGGATGACTTAAACTGGGTACCTATATCAACATTCCTAAACCCTCTGTAATGTCATGTGAATGATAGATATACCAGACGTCGTATTGAAAGATTGATAGAACTCTGCAATAATGATTACATATAAATTTCATGATGAATTCGTGTGTACTTCTTATACACTACGTATGATGTCATGAATTTGAAATGAGATATTTACAACTATGAACACTAAGTTGCAATTTACATATGTCCATAGTCATGCATAAACATCTTTGCGAAAAACAGTATGAACTAAGTAATAATGAAAATATAGCTACGGAAAACCTTATTAAATTCAAATCATAAGATAAAAAATACTGATAATTTATTTCATTTAAGTCTAAGAATTGTCTCCAATTCTTTCTGTCATTTTTTCTATAGTATTGGTGATTACTATTTCCCTGATTTAGTTTTATCAACCCTCTAATCATATCTCAACAATTTTACTCCACGTTTGCATGTTCAGATTATTGATCATAGTCATAATTTCACAAGAATGTAGGTTATCAAGATAATATGATATATTGTCTATGAAATTACTTAATCAAATTAATCGTTAAACAATAATTTTTATTTCTTCATCTTGATATTGTTTCTTATGAATATCAATAAATCATGTATTCCATTGGAATCTTCCAATCCCATTCATCTTCTGCACATTTCTTTTTGTATTTGAACATGATTGTAAAGATTTTGTGCAATATTAATCTATGAAAATATTTTTATCTTCATTTATATGTTTAGATTACTGTAATTTCATTGGATAAATATCTAATTAATTACTAATTGATAACAGTTAATTATAATATGCATTATTTATTTTTAATATAATTTTATTACCTAATACATTGATAATATGATAATAAATTACATTATGAAGAGATTTAAAATTATATCATTTAATAGTAATAATTTTTTGCTATAATTTTTCATTATAAATATTTGATTATAATTATAATCAAATACATGCTCATATATACAATACACAACAAGAATCACGCAACAATGTATGTGATTCAACTTCACTTGAGGCTACATTGACAGCCAAGATAAAAGTTTCATTAAAACAAGAATGTTACATCATACCTCCATAGTTAAGAAATAGTACAGAAGAGATGGTAGGTACAAGCCAAAGATGGTACAGTTTAAAGTTGGTGATTTTGTTTATCCACAAAGGCAGCCCAATGATACCTCTACACTTATACTAGTTGCAATATTTCATACATTAACGCAATCAGGTTTTCATGTGTGCTAGAGTTGCAAGGGACGCTACATGTATTAAGTCAATCAGGTTTTCAGACGTGCTAGAGTTGCAAAGTGCAGACGTACTATTACACCAGTTTTAGTATGTGTGAAGTACTATTAGACCAGTTTTTGTATATGTGATGTATGATTAATAGTAATCAAAGACTTGATCATGTTTAGCTTAGATATAATTACGTCTAGCTAGTTATAACTAAGTTGATTCAATGATGATTAAGTTTAGCTATAATGTTTGAACTTGGTTGAATGATAAGAAGAGTTCTAGAAGATTTGGATATCCACTTCTATTTTGTCTTTTACACAAAACTAAACATTTGGATCAAACTTGAGGATGGAAAGTCTTCAAGACAACTCTTTGCTCATCTTCACTTTGTCAAGATCTTTACTGATCCCTAGTCTAGAAATCAATTCCATGGCAGCAACAACTTGAACTTGAACTTCATCATTTGAAGAATCCTTGGATGATGTTTCTTGATAAGAAGTTGACATGACCAAATCAACTTCCGAGAAACTTACATTCTCCTCGCTCTTGAATTTCCAATACTTGTTAGTTGATCTATCCAACTCGGCAATGAAATCTACTGCTGTGTTAATGGTACTTTCATCTTATGGTTCTTTAGACCTATACAAAGATTTTCTTTGTGTTAGCTATTATAACTACTCGCCGAACTAAACCAAGAACATTTCAACATCAAATCATAGCTAGCATCCTTTAACACTTGGAAAGATAGCAAAGTTTGGATTCTCTTCACACTCATTACAACCTTGTCAACCATACCAAGTGGTCTAACTTTCTATTTGTTGGTCATATCAACAATGATATTAAAAGATCTAAAAAATCTCATTTCTAACTTTAGCAAAAAAACTTTGAACATTGCATTAATCGCAGAATCACCATCTATCAAGAAGTCAAAAACATCATATTCATTGATTTTTACTTAGATCTTTGGAACATATACCTCCACAGTAGCAACATTAACTACCACTTTAACTTACACATTTTTCATGTGAACTTTGTAATTGGATCTTGGCTTCTTGATCCTTGTGGAGCTAAAGTATCTTCTTAGTTTCTTCCATATGGTTGGATTCAAAGCAATCAACTTGCCAATTGTTATAATGGCCTTGCAACTTAATACATACTCCACCGTATCATACTTAACTTCAGAAGAAGAAATCAAAAAATTATCCATTCTTAATTTCGTTCTTGGTACTCTTGATGGATTCATTCCACTTGATTGTGTGCTCTGACTGTAACCATCTTTAGTTAGTTAGAACTAAAGTAGAGGTTACTCTGAATATTGATGTAGATACTTTAGTGTGCACTAGTCATAGCTGCCACGTCAGCGATCCGCGCACTTGGTAGGTACAGAGTGGACGTGTTAGTTGACAGTGCCACGTCAACAATCCGTGTGCTTGTAGGTAAGGATTGAATGTGTTAGTTAGTGTGTTAGTTGGGTGCGCCACGTCAGCGATCCGTGTGCTTGTTAGGGTTATCCGCCATGTCATTCATCCACTAGGAGTGGGATGGATGGTGGGGATTAGATCTTATCACCTTGTACTTGTTGGTGAGAGCTATATAAGGGAGAGGAGAACTATTGTTGGTATCTCTCATCTTCAGAGTTTACGTTTCTATCTTCGAGTGAACTTCTCTCTAAACCCTAGTGTTACAATGGTATCAGAGCGACCTTGCTCTTTCCTTGAGTGTGGATTACCCCTCATGGAATAGCAAGTGAGTGATGATGAAGTGTAGTCTTGAGAGTGTATAGAGGCTGGCAGAGGTCATTCATCTGCATGTAGAGAGAGGTGGAAAGGGGAAATTGTGTTTTTGCAGATATGGACGGGATTGACAGGAATCCAGTACCGCACTGGCCAATTCCTAACCTATTCGATATTCACCTTCGTTGCATGGAGAAACATCATTTTCGGATGTACCTTGTGGCTTGTTGGGGTGCAGATTTTATGAGTAGAGTGATGGAGTCAAGAGTGTCATTGATTCTTCCAATAGTTACTTATGGAGAGACTTGGGATTGTACTATATACATTCTATACTGATTGTTTCATGGATTTGAATTGCGAACCACCTGTCCCGGTTCGATTCAACAGTATGTAGAGATTAGAACAGTATATAGACAGAAGAGGATATGGAGAGATTTTCTTGTGAGGAATTATGAAGAGAAGTACTATAGAGCTGTGATAGAGTCACCTGCACCTTTTGTGACTCCTTTGTTGAGAGGTCACATAGTGATTATACTCACTTTGTATTAGAGGGAGTGTGAGAAAGCATGAGAACATCAATTGATATGGGTGATGTTCTCAATGCAATCATGGCGGAGATGAAGGAGTTGAGAAAAGCGATAGTAGATGGGCATATCAAGCAGCAAGCCATGGAAGATAAAATCTTCGCATTAGAGAGTGAGAAAGTAGAGAGAGAGAGAGTTGGAGAGATGGAAGTTGAACCTCAAGTTCAAGCTTTCCAAGTTCAGCCAGAACCAACTCCTATTGATGCAGCAGAGGCAAATAGGAGACGTCTTCAAGAGATTGAAGATCAAGCAAATCTCTTGCTTCGAATGGGAAAATCCTGTAAGGTGGAAGTTTACAAAGGGAGTAGAGCAATGGGAGTGTTAGAGGGATGGATTATGAGGATGAATATTCATTTATCCTATTTTCATGTTTCTGATTATATTGCAGGAATGTTCATGAGATCTTATCTTACGGATAAGGCTCTCACATGGTACACAACATGGGAGAGAATGCTTTCAGAACGAGGTGCTACCATTTCGTGGAGTGGAATGTAGGAAGGACTTCTGCAAAATTTTCAAGCGGTGGATTCTCTTCAAACTGCAAGAATGAAGTTGTGGGATCTGAAGCAGAAAGGAGGTATTCATGAGTACATTGAAGAATTTCGTGATCTTCAAGTATCTATCATGGATATGAGTGGAGCTGAAGCCTTGGACGTGTTCAAACGAGGCTTGAAAGATCGAATTCAAAAGGAGGTGATGGTAAGCAATCCATCTACTGTGAATGAAGCAATCGCAATTGCTCAACGAATTTCGGGTGCTTTTGGTGTCACACACGGTGAACCAGTGAGCAATTTTAGAGATACATCTGGTCCAACACTGATGGAGTTGGAAAACCTTCGACGTAGAGAAGGTTTTGCACCAACAAAAGGACCACCACCAAGATTTGGAGGTGAGATTAGGCGACCTGGAGTTCCAAATTTGCAAGAAGGTTATGCAAATAATGGAATGGTTCGAGGAGGAGCTGGAGTTCGTGACAATCGCCAATGCTATGCATGTGGACGAATGGGTCACATAGCCAAGTTTTATCGAGTTCGGTCGACACAACAAGGAGGATGGCCCATGCAGCGACGACCGTTCAACAATATGGAGGGGATAGAGTATGAAGAGGTGGAAGAAGCAGTTTCGGGAAACGAAGATCACCAGTAATCTTGCCTCGCGGCCTTACTGGTTCTACAAAGTGAAGAAAAGGCGAGGTTGAAAGAAGGCAATGGTTGGGAGCTCATGGAATGAGTAAGAAGCAAGCTCAACTCATTGTCACTGATGGTTTCATGGAAGGACACAAGGTGAGAGTTTTAATTGATCCTGGAGCAACTAAGAATTTTTTATCAAGTAGTGTTGCTATGAAGTAAGGTTTGATGTTGATGAAGGATGTGAATGAAGAAGTTGAATTGCCAAACGGGCAAACTCAAGTGATAGAAACACTACCACGGAGTGTAGAATTATCCATAGGTAGATACAAGGAGAGCATTGAATGG